GGAACAAAAGTATCAGGATTAGTAGCTGTTGACTGAAAATAAAACAGTTACTCGGTGTTGAGCATATGGACAGCCTCCATCGAAAGGCATAGCAAAATGCATACCTTTTGTGTGCTATTTAAATGTGTCGTGTATTTTAATATTATGCAAATACGTAGAATATTTTTTATTGTGCACTATAAAACACTCATAAAAAAGACTGAATAAACAGAAAATAAATGAAAAGCATGGATTCTGAGGCGAGGCGAGACAATGTGACAGCTCTGTCTGTCATGTCCGATCTTGGGTGGCACAAAACCTCCCTTTTCCCTTTGTCCCTTTATTGTCTCGTCCTTGAAGCGCATCTTTGTGATAGACAAGCTTCTAATAATCTAACATTTTCTCCAACTGGGAACATGGCATTTGCGTCACATGCTTGTTATTAGGGAACAGAAACCATATTCAAGCCATCAGGACTTTTAAAGGAGATCTATATGGGGAAGGGGATATTTTCCACATAGGGGAACTCTAAGATGATTACAGCACCACAGGGAACCCTGCTTGCCTCGGGCCCCATTCTCTAGCTCACGGTGAATAATGGTCAATCTTGCCCTGTAACCTTGCTCTCAGTCTCACTGAGCTAAAAAGCTCTGGGTTTCTAATGTTTTGTGAGTGGCATATAATGCTAACAATTGTAAGAATAATTGCTTGCAGTTCCATTTCTGCAGTATTTCTTCCAGCAATTTCACTTTCTCGAAGGGGGGAAAAATGGTATGCAAACAAAACATAATTACAAAAACTGAGTATAGAATGAAGGGAGAATATGTGAAGCAGAAATTATGTGGCTGCTTTGTGAACGGATTCATCCTTAAGTAAAATTCATAAATGCCTTAAATTAAGTTTAATTTTCAGTAAGTGACTGCTGTTTCATTGCTTTCTGCAATTCCTTCTATTTTTCATAATTCTTTACTGACTTGTTTCACAAAGAGACTTATCGCACTGTGAATAATGTGTCAGACTTTGTTTAAATTTAAATGCCTCCCATAATGGGATTCCGTAATTATTCAAGTGAGTGTTTTAAAACAATTGACTCTTCATCATATATGAATGACAGACACATTACTCTTAAGGTCACACAATTTGCTATACAAACTGCTAAGATTAGGAACAATTTTATAGATTTCACCCTGTTAAACTGCAAAAGTGACAATGTGATTTGATTTGACTATTTCCATTGCTCTTTTGCTGATATTTGCTTTTGATGGGAATGGACAAATTTGTCAATTTCTGGTGCATGCAGCATCCTTTTATTTTTAGCTCTAATTTTGCTTCATTCTCTTTCTGCAATGAGCTGTGCTACAACCTTAAGAGAAATGCACAAGTCAGTGGAAAAGCTGAGTTTAAGAAGTGTAGATAAAGTCCTTTCAAACAGGAATTAACAAATCCCATATTCTTCTGGCATCCCACAATTTTGACAGATTGTGTTTGTAATATGGTTTTGGTCATACATTAAAGGGCAAGTGACCTAGGCTGGAATCCCTGGAGTGAAATTCCACAGCTTAGTGGGGCTTACTTCTGAGTAGGTGTGAATAGGATTGTGCTGCAACAAAAACATGTGTGACATAATGCCAGTGACTGTTGGTCAAACCTGAAATACCAGACCATTTGGTGCCAATCCCCAAATGCATTTTCATGAAAGGACAAAAGGCAGATAGTTTGTACCTAAAAGGTAAATAAGGGTAAATGACCCCTGGACAGTTAATTCCGGTCAAAGGTGACTCTGGGGTGCGGCGCTCATCTCGCTTCAGGCTGAGGAAGCTGGCGTTTGTCCACAGACAGCTTTCCGGGTCATGTGGCCAGCATGACTAAACTGCTTCTGGTGCAATGGAACACTGTGACGGAAACCAGAGTGCATGGAAACACCGTTTACCTTTCCACCACAGCGGTACCTGTTTACCTACTTGCACTGACATGCTTTCGAACTGCTAGGTTGGCAGAAGCTGGGACAGAGCAACAGGAGCTCACCCCATTGCACAGATTTCAACTGCTGACCTTCCGATCGGCAAGCCCAAGAGGCTCACACCTGAGTCCCTAATCATATATGGTCTGGAACGATAAGTCAGATACTTCTCCCAGCTTTAAATATTTATAGATATATCACTTAGAAAAATATTAGGGACACAGGGTTGTATGCAACAAGTCATCTTGTTCATGCAAGGGCCTCTGCTTCTGCAGTGGAATTTCTGGGCCTCCCCACTTTCCATGAGTGCATCATGCCACCCCATCCCATCCCCATCTACTCTAGAGGGTTAGGGAAAAACCATGAACTGGTTGGGGGAACACATCAAGAAAGGAAGAGACATTCTGCTGTACAAGCTCAAGTCCTAACGTAAACAGAATGACTTTGTTAGAGACAACCAAAAATTCCTTTTCACCATATAACCTGCTGGTTCAATCAGGTACAAAGTAACTACATAAGCCTTCTTTAGGCGTTCTATATAATGCTCAGTAAACATGCAGGGAGCAGAATGAGTTTGCTACCTCTGCCCCTTCTGTCACTGCTGCATCAGCCTCCACAAGTTGGAGGACAATCTTGAGGCTCCTCTTGCATTTTAGAACCTTGATTTTGCAAGAAGCTCCTTCTGTCCCAAGATTGTCCTCTTTATAGTCGGGGGATCATTGTAACGGTGATTTGGGGGGGGGGAGAGAAAGAGAGTGGTTTTAGCGTTCTTTGGATATGTGTCATGAATCCAATGTTTTCGGTTAATTTAGAAATTCTGCAATTTACTGTCTTGTCTGATAATCTCATGATGAAATTGTAAAGTAACATATTGATGTTCAGTTTGCAATATGGCACGCTGACTGACAGAATGCAATAATGGGAATGTCGGTTGGCTTACTTTGTGTAGATAAGCTCTGATTATTTTCACTATCTGCTTCCGAAAGAACAAGACAATTTGTTATCTGATCCTGCTAGTGATAATACATAATATAAGTAAATATTTATTTTGGAGGGAATTTAGGAGGGCATTTCCCTACACAATCAAAGGTCTTTCACCTAGGAAGAAGGTTACCTGAGAGACCACCTTATCCCTTATATATCCAGTCACTGCGGTCCGCAGGAGAATTTATCTTAAAGGCTCAAAAGAAATTAGAAGTCACTTCCACAGTAACTTAGTGCAGGGCTTTTAATATGTCTGTCCCTGTTTTGTAATTTGATAATTCACGCAGAACCTTCATAAGTAGGAAGACTCAAAGAACATTCAAATATACTCAAGAGGCGAGGCTGCTTTGTCCTACCACCAAAAATCCTTAGTCTTTTCCTGGACTAAAAAATCTCTGTTATTATCCATTTTGGAATCCTTACTGCAGCTTTGGCAGGTGACATGAAAAGAAACTGCCCTGCTGGCTAACCTCTAATTAGTAGCATCCTGCCAGATTACATCTTCTACCTTCTCATCCCCTTCAGTTTCAGACCTCTACCAAGCAGGGTGTTCATTGCATTCATTGCCCTTAGTAATGAAGGGCAAAGAAACCAAGCTCTTTTTATGGTTTGAAACTAGACAAAAAAAGGCTGCTGGGAGGACCAGAGAATCCACAGTCAGTCAAAATTGCTCTCAGTGCAGACTGTAGATATTACCTTCTGAGTACGTGGAAGCATAGGAAGCTGCCTTATACTGAGACAATTATCCAGCAACTTCAGTATTCTTCACGCTGACTGCTAGCGGCTCCCCAAAATTTCAGACAGGGAATATTTACAGCCCATGTGGAGATGCAGAATGGTAACTCTAGTCCTGAACTCTGGCCCTATGAGCGCCAAAATGACCAATAGACTTCCTGGAAAGCTTTCTGGTTTGATTGCTGAATGGAACTGCTTGTGTGCAGTCTGGAGAGGGGGGGGGGGTTGCAAACAAACCAAGGAAGAGATGCCACTTTTAAGTTTTATTTCCTGTCCTACCCTGAGCAGACAGTAGTTCTAGAAACCACCTGAACTGGAATAGGACAGGGTCTCTGTTTGTATAGAGAAGAGGTATATATCACCATGAACTACTGCTGTGAGGAAGACTGAAGTTCATATATTGATCTGAAATTACCAGCTATACCTTTTGCTGCAGTCCTTGAGGTTTTTTTTTAGGTTTTTTTTTCAAGAGAGAGAAAAGACAAACCCTTTCAGGTATATTATGCTGGAAAAAATTAGTTGCATGACATTTCCATCAATAGAAGAAAAAGACCTATTGGTGAAAAAGGCCAACTAATTGCTAATTGCTCTATATCACCCAAACTGGCAGAGGTACAAGTTGTGTTCCGTGCCATCCTCATTTTACTTGCTAAGTATGATCAGAACTAATTGTAACATTTGCAGGTGAAAAGAAGTTTTGACCTTTTGAATCTTTCCTCTTGTATACATTTGGCACTGCATCACTTGACATGTCACCTCTAATGTATCTGAATACTAAAGGGCTGATCCTGAGGTAAAACTAAGTTAATCTTTCTCTTACACTAGCCAAATGTTCCGGCACAGTTCTCAGCTCAAGAAATATATCATATTGGGGGGATTTGGGCAAATAACAAAATGAAATGGGTCACGTCGGAAAAGTTTGGGGATTGTGAAGTGAGATCTCTCCAAAGCATCCCAAATGGAAGCAGGACCTCCGAAGTAGAATGCCTTCGAGATACAGGCATTTAAATAAAAAACCTGTAGCGGTGTGTCTGCTAAAAGCAAACCATGATCTCCAGGCTTATATAATATGATGCATTTTGTATGTTGTTTTCAGTAGTATATGCATTGATATGCACACTTCACCACCTTTGTATATGCATATGGATTGTATATAATTATATTGCAAAATTCATAAATGTTTGACTTTCAAAGAATATCTGAGTGCTGGTTCGTGCACTGTTTCAGAAGGTGCAAATTAGATAAAGTCACTTTTAAATGCAAACCGAATCAAATTTCTTTGACATTCCTGAAGGAGACCAGTACCAACTAAGTCCCTTCAAAGCTCTTTGAAGAGGTATAATTAAAGGGTTAATGTCTTAGGAACATTTTTTGATCCAACAAGACTTTTATAAAGTTTCATACACCAAGCAACAATGGGTTCCACAGCAGCCAAGAACTGGATAATCTGGCCCTTTCTCTTCTTGTCTCCTCCCAACTCAAAGTGCTTGCACCTCTTAATGGCCAGCATCCTCTTTGACCTGCAATTGGGCTCCACACATTCAAGTCTCAGCATTATCTTCTTTGTGGTCTTTGCCTTTTTGCGGAAGATGGGCTTTGTTTGGCCACCATAGCTACTCTGCTTACGATCATATCGCCCATTTCCCTGAGCATACAAAGAGTCCTTGCCCTTCTTGTACTGGGTTACTTTGCTGGGCTGGTGCTTCCCACACTTCTTGCAGTAAGTCCTGTGGGTTTTGGGGACGTTCACCATGTTGCCAGCGTCAGCATCTTCTGGACCATGTCTTAGGAATTCTGACTTATATAAACAAAGAGTCTTCTCTTGTCTAAGATAATATTGATTAGGTATGTGCTGCCACTGCAGCACAAATAACAGCTTTGACAGAGGGGAATAGTCCTTGGGAAAATGCCACAGGAAAAAGAGGCAACCCCTATCCCCCAGTAAAGTGGTCCCAAACTGAATGGCTTGGAGCCCAAGTAGCTCTTCATCTCCGTCTCTCAAGGAGCTCTAACCATAACTACCTGATGTTTAAAAACCATGAACAACACTCTTCAAAGTAAGCTAATGCCTTTCTCATAGGGTGTTTTTTTTTCTACAGCCGCCGATGAATCTAAGAAGAAATCCTCACCAATTTCTTGCATTACCTGCTTTTCATGAAATGGTCTCAGTGCATTGAGTGAGGTGTATTTGTCTTACTATAGTTAAAGTGAGGGATTTCCCAGAATGAGGCTAGCAAGTGTGGGTGGAATTCAACAGAGTGCTAAGGAGATAATTCGATCGGCACAAGCAATTCCACGTGCCCGATGAAACAATCCCTCCTCTCCTCTTCCCGTTTGCTAGTCTAGAGGCTCTCCATGTTGTGCTAGCAGAGTGTTGAATCTGGATAGTTGAATCTGGCCCTAAGTAATGACATTTCATTTCAGACTCTGGTCAGTAGGGACAGTCATTTATGGTATAAGTCACCCTAAGTACTATTTGCAATGGGACAGCCGATAAATGCCTAAAGATAAATAAATTCACAAAAAATATACGGCTAGATACCTTGGCATCTACCTGTGTGTGTGTGTGCGAGAGAGAGAGTGTGTTCCATCCTTCCTCCCAAAGAAGCCAAGGGTGATAAAAAAACACATCAAATGATAATATAGCTAAAACATTTAAAGGCAATTTCAACAGAGATTCGGCCTACTTAAGATATTGCGTATGTTGATAGAAAGATGGGATATGACTCAGTCTGATAGTTATAACAACAACAACAACAACAACAACAACAACAATACAGATGCTTTGTGGCACTCCAGCATGAGTAATCATTTCCACTGATATTCATAGTTTAACCATAGTATCACATTTGTAGAATGTGTCACAATAATATATTACTATAGCATAATTCTTTCTTTTCTTTTTCCATTCTAGTCAGTCTTTGTCCTGAAGGCCAGTTAATCTCCTATACTCTTTTTTTTTTTTTTGGCCTGGCTACAATTTTAAAATTGTCAGAAGAAGGATAAATTTCATGCCATTTTGTGTTCCCATTACAATCTTCAGATTGTTAAGAGAACGGATTAATTTTGCTCCATTTTCTGTCCTCATTACAGTCTGTTATGAGAATGGATTAATTTTATGACATTTTCTTCTCTCATTATAATCTTTGTTATGGGAATGAGAATATGTAATGAAAATGAGAACATATCAAGCATTAAAGAGCTGTGAGAACTCATGACAAAGACTGTAACAAGAATAGAAAATGGCACCCAATCCATTTTTGTGACAGTCCCTGAGACTATAAAGTGAAACCAGAGTGACACGACATTTACTACTTACGGAGGAAACAAGAACATAAAAACCCCACCCTACTCCATTATTGCCATTATTGTGGCAAGTGTGTTGGTGATACTAATACACATGTGGTGCAGTTACAGTACTCCACATAGACTGCAACAACTGTACCACCTGGGAATAAACTGACCCAAAATTCTATGTTTTTTCTTATAAGATTTCTAAGTTTTTTCTTTTTCTTACTGCCCCATAGAGAAAGGATACTTTTGTGACTGTCCCTAGATTGTAAAGTTAAATCAGAGTGCCACAACATTTTGAGTCAAAATTTTATGTTTTTCTGATAAGATTTCTGATAATTTAATTTTTCTTACCATCCTCATAGACAAAGGACATTTAAAGAATTTATTCTGAATATTCTCCACTATTTTTGGTTACAAATGCCATCATTCTCCCACATACACATACACACAGACACAAAATGTCTCAGAAAGATGATAACACCAGAGCTTTTGCAGAGGAGGAGTTAAAATGGTGGTCAGGCTGCCAACACAATAGCTGTTGCTGCCACTAGGAACATTAAAAAAAAGAAGAAATGTAGTATTGCCATTGCTAAAAGTGAGCCCCATGCCTGAGAAACTGTTGGAGAATTTCTCTTTGCCCTGGATAAATTTGGATGAAATGGTGGCCGCAATTTCTCTGTTCATGAGCTGCGTGAATAATTTCAAGAAGCCAATTGTGCATAGCTCAAATATGACTCTCCACTTGTCCATGAAGCTCAGAGTATGACGTTGGACCTCTAAGCCTAGTCAGCTTCACAGAGTTGTGAAGATAAAATGGAAGAGGAACAATGTACTTTATAAGTGAAATCTTAGGAATGGATTGCACAGTCATTTCCCCTGTACACAGGCAAGCTGCAACTAGTCCTCAGTCATGTATGTGCCTGCACATTCGTGTGGACAAATGTTACAATGAACTGGCACCTGGCAGTGATATCTGCAAACACAACAGCAGTTTTTGAACCACAAAAAAATCAATGCATTCAAGCAGCCTCTCACAAGAGCTATATGCTGCCGCTTCTTTTCACTTTGAGAGTACAACTGTATTCCAATGCTGACAAATGTTTGTGTTTTCCAACTTTCCTGTATACAATGGCCCAGCAATGCCCATTTGGGCACTGAACAAAGCTTTGAGACCTACTCTACAGAAGTTTGAGCCATACAAATTTCAGCTGAAAGGGGAAACACCTATAATTGGTGTTAACAATGAAAAGTGATGTGAATCAGTGCAATAGAGAACAGATGAACTAGCATTTGAAGCAAAAATTGGGGGCTGGCCAGGAATTTTCCCCACCGGGCAAACTGGCTTATGACTTGTGGTTTTTGCTTAGCTCATTGCCATTGTCAGAACTTTGGCAGTTTAGGCATTGGGTGACCCTTAGTCTTCGCTGGAGGGAGGTTGTAGACTCTACCTGCGCCTCCGAAAAATGAGTATCCCATTAAAGGGATCCGGGAGGAGTTACTTCTGTCCAAATGCCCAGGCAGGGACGACAGGGAGGTGCCTACCTCTCAGGCCCATTCATCATCGGCCAATTCATGGGCAGGCCTAATCCAAAGCCTGGCCAGTGAAGCAAGATCGCAAGCTACTCTGCCAACCAGGAAGTTCCACTCAGGAGGGTCACTCGGGATAATAACATGGGAAAATGCTGAGCCGTAATGCTGTCTCACCAAATAAGGTGAGCAGACTAACTTCAATTCTTGGCTGAGAAGTCACAGAATATGGTTTCTCTCATGCCCAGAGGTTTTGAGGGAAGCTGCCAGCAGACTTGTGGAATAACTTCACCTGCCTGCACTTATTTAACAGGCTGTTATTCTGCAGATCTTTTAAATGATATATTTGAGTAAATATAAACTTTACACTACAGTGGTACCTCAGATTACAAACGCTTCAGGTTACAAGCACTTCAGGTTACAAACTCTGCTAACCCCGAAGTAGTACCTTAGGTTGAGAACTTTGCTCCAAGATGAGAACGGAAATCGTGCGGCAGCGAGGCAGCGCCAATGGGATGCCTCGTTAGCGAAAGAGCGCCTCTAGTTAAGAACGGTTTTAGGTTAAGAACGGACATCCGGAATGAATTAAGTTCGTAATCTGAGGTACCACTGTAATATGTTGCCTTTTTACTCTTCTTCCAGGGTGTTGGGGCAGTGAGCAGGGATAAGAATCTGATCTATTCCTTCTGTGATTCACCCAAAAGCACTTGTGATTAGAAGTAAAAAGGAGAGGCATGATAAAGTCATTCCTATTGTCTGGCTGGAAGCTGGAACACATCCTCCTCTGCTGCCCCCTTCTCTCTGTTTAGTGTTTTTCATTTATGCAGAGTTTGCAGATGTTTTGGGGAGATCCAAAAATGTATCAAATTGCCCAGAAAAGTAAAAACATATTTCCAAGGCTCAGAGGTTGTTCCAAAGCCTCAGAACATGTCCTTGGACCATTTTGGACCTAGGTTGCCTTGATTTCAAGCCAGTTTGAATATCACCAAATTAGGGATATTTTCCTTGGATTCGTGCTTCCTCTGGACCAAAGCAGAGACTTAATAATCAGCAAATGTAGAAAGAAAAATGAATGTGGGTCTCAAGTGGGTCTGGAGACAATCGGAAAAAAAATACTTCTCATTCTAAGGTGTCAGTTATCACAGAAGTAGGATTGATTCTTTTGTTTTTGTTTAATGTAAATTGAGAATTAGAATTATTTATTTTTAAAAGCATGCCTAAAGTAACATGAAAGAGGTTGTAACAGTGGATGTTGGGAAGCTAATCTATGGATTATAAAGGAATATGTGCACATGCTTTGCCCTCAATTATAAGCCCTGCTCAGAAATTATTGTTCACACATTGAATCAGCTCATGAATGGGGAGCAGGATCACACAAGCTAGGCCACCTCTGCCATTATGCATCCTAGAGATGATGGCATTTTTAATGAAACTTTATTCAGTGCATATTATGCAGTATGCATCTGTGTTGTTTTTTTAATTACAAGTGCATGAGGAACAGGGATCCTGTTTTTGTTTTGTTTTATCATGACTGCACTGCACAACACCAAAGCATATTCTGGACACTTCTCTGAGCCCAGTAGAAACCTGAGCAGGGTCTTCCTCCCACTGACAAAAGCTGTGCCTGTTTTGAGGAAAGAGATATTTGAGAGGTACTGTTTATCTTCTTAAACTGTTTCTGAAAAAGCTCCTTAGCATAATAGCTTTCACCCTGAATTGGTTCCTGCAGCATGTTCTTTAGTCCTTTACTTGTAACTTCCCTAAAAATAGATGTAGCTGGCAGAAGCTATTAAAGGACTTTTAAAGTTGTTATTCTCACCCCATTAACCTTTTTTCTGTTCAAACTCAGACCCCTTCAGAGCAATCAAATGGTACTGATATAACAATACTTTGGTAAGATATAAATTGATACTGCTATGCGATGCAAAACTG